TAAAATACTCTCATGTGGTCCTCGACATCCAAGTTGCACATCACTGGTGTTCAACACCAGTTGGCGTAGTTAGTACTGTACTGCACCGCGCCATAAACAAGCCCCTAGTGAGCGAGTCAGTCGAGGTCGAGAACCGCCAACCGCGCTCAACAATCAAGGAGAGTGCAACGAGAAAACGTTCATGAGGACGTTGAGATCTAGAGAGATAGAGACGTCTGTGCGTCTGTTGCCAGCGGCAGCATGACCGATAACCTAAGCACGACAGGAATCCTTAGTAGCATTAATGTCACATTCACATCAGCGCTCGGTAAATAGTTACTAGTCTGGCGAAGCAAGCGAAACAAGCGGTCACATGGAGCATGAGAAACGGCAAAGCAAATATCGCAAGACATAAATCATCGGGCAGCAAGCACTACAAGCAACCAAGCTACGCAAAAGATAAACCAGCACGGCGATGATCAAGACAGAACAAGCGTTGACTGCCGAGATATAGCTTTCGCATTCGCGCAGGATGACGAATACAATGCCCAGTTCGAATAAATTGCTCCAAGTGCTCACTGCCTCCTATAACCCGCATTTTGATCAAGCCCACCTCTGGGGGGATAATCGCGAGCAGCACCCTTAGAAGGAGCCGGAGGAGGCCCAGCGTAGCCTGGAGCACTAGGATAAGCCTCGTAGGTACCAGTACCAGTCCTAGCAGGAGGGCTTTGGGAACGGCGTCTGTTCGAGTTTTTTTTAGCATCGTTTGTGGAAAGGAGTCGCCGCGAAATAACAGACCTCGCACGTGCCTCGGGGCCAGAGCGGGCAGGGTAGTCGGCATACCGTGTTGATGGTGGAGTTACTGGGCGGCGATATTCAGCTGGAGGGGCGTAGTCACTAAACATGGTCCATCAGGAATGTTGTTACGACGAAGAAGAACATTACGGACCGGGCAGGCGGTCTTTCAAATTCTTCCCGGCGCAATGGAGGCCCCCCTCCAGGTGGTGTCCTAGGCCTCACAGCAGGGGGAGGGGCAGGATAACCACCATATCTATCATTGGAAGGAGGGGGGCGCCTGTCATATCGGTCATAGTCCCGAGATGCCGGAGGTGGATAGCCACGAGGGTATGCGACTGGGTCCTCAGAGCCATAGTAGCCAGAGCGAGACTCGTACCGGGGAGGTGGATGAGGAGGCCCACGCATTCTGTAATCGTCCACATCACCCCTGCGAACAGAGGGCTGAGGATAATCGCGGTATTCTCGCGGAGGAGACACCGGTCTTCTAGGCGGAGGATAATCGTACGAGTAACGAGCATCACGGGGAGGAGGTGGATAACCTCGAGGGGGATACTCTTCGCGATAGACGGGATATTCGCGAGCATGGGGAGCGGGCGCTGCATAATCACGCGGTGGATGAATTCTATCGATTAAGGAACCGTCTCCAGCAGGGCTGTGGCGTCTAGAAGTGCCAGTTGCTAAGCATGAGAGGAACGTGATGGAAGCACAAATAAGACTGACTGGACAACATGATTCGGGCATTCCCTGGAAATTTCAAGTCAATGCACTGGAGGAGAAATCAAACAGGTCGAGCTCACCTGGCCCAGTGACCCATCTGGCCACACTTGAAACACGCACCCGGATCTCCGCTAAATTTTGCAAAGCGACCTCCGCCACGAGAGATCTCCACACGGATTTTGTTGCCCATGAAGAAGCCCTCATTATACTTGGCAACGCTTTCCTCGGCCGCTTCACGGGTGTCAAATTCCTAGAGAGAATAAGACCTCAATAATCCCCCCCCAGAAGGTCTTTGAGGGGTACCTACCACAAAACCATACCCTACTCTGCAGGAATCGAATTAGGCTGGGAGAGTCATTTCAATGTCTCGAGAAGGCGTACTTTAGTTCGATATTGACGATATCGCCAATTTTTCCGAAACAGCTTTGAAGGTCCTCTTGACGAGTGTTTTCCGGTAAGCCACCGATATAAACTTTATTTGGCTGCAGAGCACAGGAAGTGAACACCAGTCCAGAACGCTGAAATGAGTAAACATGGAGCAAAAGCGCAGTGTGTGAACCCGTAGCCATGGGAAGCTAGTCTCCGGAAAGCCAGCAATAAGCAGCATGGAATCACGACTAATGGGACTGCCCATGCTCTCTGCCCATGCAGGAACGCATACGTGGCGGGACGAAACGGAGGACATAGGAAGACCTAAGCACCTTGACTTGTTTCTCCCTGTAGATTGTCGACCCACCAGACCTGGAACCAGGGCCAGGATCACCTCCACCAGGACTACGAGGGTGATACTCGGTGTTGACCGGGTCGGACGCTCCACGTTCATCGGGGGGACCACCATTCGAAGGGGGGAGGTCTGCACCGTGTGCCAGAGAATCCCCAGCACGGTCTTCTTTTCCCGACCACTTTTCGCGCACTTGTGTATCGCCACGGTCGACTTGGACAGGAGAGGCGGCCATAGCAAAGGGATGGGAAAAAAAGAAAAGAGATCGCTCGGCCGTGCTCAAGTGTTGTGACTCCTTCATTCAAACTCATTTTCTATCTCCGATTAAGACAGCGCCACACTCACAACAAACAAAACAAAACAATGTGCAAAAGCTAAAAGGTCCAAATCCAAAAGTAATGTCCCACCCCAAAAACGAGGCCTAGCTAGGTACCGGTACTAAAGTGGTACTAATTGAATAAATGTCAATGGGTCCAATGAAAGTCTATGGTCCTCCAATTGCTGATACGATACACGGCAGACTTCTACGCCAATGACCAGAAGCCACCAGCAACACTGACCGCGCCCATCAAGAAGACTCCCAGAAGGGTGCGAGAATCGCTGACAAGAGCCGTTGCCATTGCTCCAGATCTACCGCTCCCGCTGGTAGAAGACGAGCCAGGACGGCCTGTCGTAGATGAGCCAGGTGGGACAAATGTACCCGTAGCGGATGCAAGACAAGAGCTTGCGACTGCTGGAGCCGATCCCGTGGAAGCTTTGTTTACGGTAGCATTCCCAGCAAAGTTGCACGCGTCAGCACTGCGTTGGCTCCCTTCGTAGTATAGACTCATTTCGTACGAGAGTTTAGCGACTATTATGGGCATGAGTGAATGTGGACGAATGCGGATAGAGCAAGCTTACCAGGATCGCAGAAGGCCAACGAACCGTATGTCCCCGTCTGGCCATCGCCACTGATATCCTTACAGTTTCCCCCCCCAGTGGTGTTGGCAAGAGCACAAGTTGAATCAAGAAGGGGACCTAGGATGGCAGTTGTGTTCGAGGTCTGAGGAGTGAACTGACAGCTAACGGAAAATGCCACGCATTGGCAGACGGCATCCCTGGGTGTAGGGGGCAGAGTGGTTGAGGCAAGGACAGTCGTATTTTCTGCAGCGCATGCGGGGTACGTGGCAGCAGGGGCATTGCTTTGGGTCGGAACGTTGACGAATGTTACGTTACTATACGCGGCGACCAAATTGTTATAGTCTGTGGATGTGGTGACTGTCGATCCATCCGGGGAGAGTGTGATCATGCCATATTGGCCACCGTTGCTGTCCGTAGGGAAGTATGTAAATGCCACGCCACCGGACCAGACAGGAGCGGCGTCGGCGCTAAACAGTGCAGCGACGTCCCCCCAAGGGCGAGGAGTTACGGTGACACATCCGTATTCGCTGAAGTACGCGGGGATATTCAAACCGGCAAAATCGGCCGTCTTGGTAGCATAGGAAGCTGCGAAAGTCGACACCCCACAGAATTCACTGTAATTCGATTAAGGCGGCCGTTTTCGCAAATAGCATGCTGGATACCCACTAAATGTTGATCCCGAAGATATCTAAGGCACTATCGCCGGAGTTGCTACCAGAGGGATCACAACCGAAGTAGCTTGCAAGCCCAACGACCCAATTGTCGTCACCATCGATGGAGGTATAGCCAGTGAGAGTAGACAATGACTTTGATTTTCTGAGGCAAACGAAGAGTTGCATCAGCGTTATCATTGGGGACTATAGGTAGAGTAGACAGACAGATAGGCCTTGATGTCACGGCCCGCTGCCTTGATGAATGGTGCAAGGAAGGTTTGGTTGGCACGAGCAACGACCTCGTTGCCGACGTTATAAATCAGCATGTTATCATATTTGGCAAATGCGTCGATTGTCCTAGTGTAAGAGTGGTATAGGCTTGTCGACCATGCAGGGGCACTCCGGTCGATAGAACCATTCCTGGGGAGTGCCAAGTCCAGGCTGTAGGGTGGATTAGAGTCGTCAAAGGTGTCAAGCTCGTCACACGCGGCTCCAGCATAGTTACGTACATAACGTAGATACCGGCGCCACTGAGTGCTTGCATGCAACTGTCATGGTTCAGAGCCGCGTCCACACTATAGACATGGACGGCGTTGATTCCCAGCTGTTTGAGGTAAGGCAAGTCACGCTGACATGCAGTTGCGTTGGCGAGGGGGTCGGTGAAAGTACTCGGCTCGGCGAAGGGACCATTGGCGTCCAAAGTGCTGATACCTGGTAGAGACATCACACATTACATATTATGCAGTGTCCTGACGAGGGTAACACTTACCCGGCTCTTGATACCCAAGGCCTTTGACAAAAAAGCGAGTCCCATTTGGATTATATAAGTAGCGGCCAACCCTTGTGATTTGAGGAAGGCCGTGTACTTTGGAGGACAGCGTAAGGGCGACAGCAAAAGCTGCGGCAACGCGTGAAAAAAACATTAGGTTCGTGCGTGCGTGATCGGGGTATCAGGGAGAAACCAGAAGGGGGGAATGAAGAGAGCGGGAAAAACGCAAGAGGGGGGAGCGCCAGCGACCCATACCCATCGCCCTGCATGTTATGAGAAGCGTGCTAGTTAGGCACCGCCCAGATCACCGTTTGACACCCGCCCGTGCTAAACTAGGAAGACAAGTGAATCGATCACGTGCCTTCCTGGTCTTGGCTTGGCAACAGTGGCCAAATTGGACAAATGCCCTCGATGAGATCGGGCAGGGATGTGTTGTATATATTTGAACTAATGCATTAATATCGCCCGCCTAGCTCAATCGGATAGAGCGTCAGACTCTTACAGCAGGCGTGGAGTAATGCACACAGTTGTGTGATCTGAAGGCTGCGAGTTCGACCCTCGCGGTGGGCTAGAATTTTTTCCCGCTTGCCTAACACATTCCCACGGTTCGCAGTATCCCGCGTGCTTTGTTTCCGGTGCTCGGCGCCCTGTCTGTCCATCACGCACATCACGCACCGATCAAGGGACCTCTCTGACTTGGGCCAGTTCTCATTCCCACAGTCTTCATGGGCTTGTTGGCAGCGCTTTCATTCGTGAGGTCCCTTCGGTCATTCCCCTCCGCCTTCGCAGAGCATCTGGAGGACGAACAGCCCTGGAGACATGCTCCTTTGAGACAGCCCCGGTTCCTCGTTCACCATTTAACCCATCAAGCCGAGTCAGGAGGAGGAAGGAGGATTCCGTACAGTAGTACCATGTCACATCAAACGAGCAAATTGCACTCGGGTGCGATGACGTCCGCTTTTTAACCTTGGTCGAGATGGCCTAGCCTTTTGAAATCCCCGCCCCGCACAATCGTCTTGTCTTCTATTCTGGATTCTGCCGGAGTTCGTCGCGGACGACGCGGAGGGCCATTTCATGTCCATTCAAATCGATCGAAGAAAAAAAAAGGGAAGGGGTCGTCATCACACGACTGGTGTCGGCGACTTCCAGATTTGGAAGCGAGCCAACTTTCAAATTGCAGGCGCACAGCTCGAGTTTGGTTGCATTGCATTGCCCAGATACACACCCACGAGATGATGGGAAGCGGGATGTCAGAGCACTGCCAAGAGCTGTCCAGATTATAGTTTGCGCTCGCGCTCAATTGACCCATGGCCTCGCTAGGACCCCCAAACTTTAGTTCAACAACCCGTTTCAACGAGGCAACCCAGTGAGGTGGCCATCATTTACGGAAGTCTCACCCCGTGGGGACGCCTTCGCTAGCATAAAGCGCCTGCTTGCCTGCTGTCGTACTGTACCTATCGCTCAACGGCGAGTACAGTTTAAGGAATGTATTATGTATGAAGTTACGTTACAGTACTGAGACACTAGTACCACTGTCAATGGCAATGGACGATGTGATCCGTGATCCAAATGGTTCGAATGACTGAGCATTCTATGAACGGCCACCCTTTTTCTTCTGCTTCACAACCTTGAAACCGCCCCACTCCGCCTGCTGCGAAGGCTTGGGCTGTGCCTTGACAACATCAGCAATCGATGGCGCACGGCCTGTCGGTTTTTTGGAAACTACATCCGCCCTCCGCCTCGTAATGAACTCTTGGGCGAAGCGCCTGCCATCTAGCGTAGTGCTATTGTCGTAAATCAGCTCAGAGATTATTTCAACGGTCGTGGCATCGCCATCAAAAGGGAACGACAACAACATGGATGCAATCTCTTCATCTAACCGTCGAATGGTGATCAGTGAGTCGTAGTTCGCATAGTGCCAGAGAAACACATACAATTGACACTGCTGTTGAGCTGTTTCAGCGAATCATTCAGCCACTTCATGAATTCTGGTGACGGCGCAACTGGTGTGTCATCAACCTTGGGGGAAGTGATGGGCGCCTTCGCTGGTGGCGCAGGCGAGCGGACAACAGCAGTAGTGACCGTTCCTCTGGATGAGGCTACTGACCCAATCGAAGAGGATGCTGTTATTGCCGGACGTCCAGCAGGAGACGCAGCGACAACCGCTGCCGTCGCCTTTCCATTGGAACCCACAGTGGTCCATGCCCCGCCAACCAATGGAGTAGAACTCATCTATAAACGAAAAGTAATTGGTCAAGGCAAGTCACGTTGAACCGGTATCTCCTCACCTTGTTAGTGGATTCGGCATATGCCCGACGCTGTGCTACCGATGCCGTGGATTCTTTAGAAGCTGTTTTCTTGCGCCTCTCCTCTTCCTCCAAGATGTCCCTCATAGACTTCTTGGCAGCGGGCTTTTGAGGATTCGTCCAGACTGCGACAGAAGGTACAGATGGAGGGTTTGGAGACGATATCGTAACGGGCGCAGAGGGTGAAGTGGACGTGGGAGATATGATAGCCCCTGGTGTATCTTTAGTTGATAACTTGGCGCCAACTTGGGACGTTGGGAGACCCCAAGACGCCGTAAAGGTCTGAGAATCTTCAGAAGTTGACGTTGCCGCAGCTGCAGGAGCACGTGCACGCTCCCGCTCTGTAGCCTTTCGTGCCTCCTGCTTCTTAGCCTCCATCTCTTGTATCTCTCGGAGACTCGTTGGGCCTCCAACACTCTTCTTTTTATCATCCTCCGTCGACCAAACAGGCTTGGTGGGTACCGAAACAGCAGATGGTGGTGGCGTGGATTCCTTCACGGGCTGAGTAGCAGTGGGAGATAATGGAGTTGGCATAGTTGGTTGAGCTGAATTTGTCTGCACAGAAAACTTGCGACCGGGCCTCGCAGGCTGCTGTGGAGGCTCTGGCGGGCTAGAGATCAAGGGGCTCTGAACCGGTGGTGACACAACCCCATGCGGGGGCGTTGGCTCTAAAGGGCTGTCCAAGGCCGCAGCACTATCTTGGGAGTATACCTCACCAGATTCTTGTTGTTGCGTGTGCTGAGTAAGGTTGCTAACAGTTAAGCTATGCGGACCAGGCACGTGGCCCCAGCCATCGTCGATGATTCCTTGGGACGCATTGAACCATGGGGATTGCGAGGATTCACCTGGAGATGGCTGTTTGTGTACGGGAGCCCATGATTGCGCTGATGGGGGAGGCACGGTGCGGGTCGCAGTAGTATTCCGTGAAGTGGGGAAAGTCGTGTTGTCAAAGGGTGTGATACGCTTAGGCGCAGAATCAGTGGTATCATTCCATGTGGGTTGGGACAGCGGTAGAGATGGAGGAATTGATGCGGGAATGGCAGCAGTAGGAGCCATCGGGGCGCTGGGTTGTTGTGACGTAGGGGAGGCGAAGGTGGTGGAAGACGAGTGAGGGAACGGTTGATGCTGGACAGGGGAGCCGAATGGTGCGACATTCTGCGTCCCATCAAACCCCCCCAAACCCAAACCCGCGCGATGTTCTAGTTGATACAAGTCCCTCGACCCTAAGCGGGAGAGATCACGCTGGTTGACGTTACCGTAGGTTTGCCCGAGGGCGTCTTGCTGCGTTGCAAGCCCCCTAGAAAGAGTAGACTCGTTGGCGTAAGCAGGATCCAAGACGGGCGAGAGGTGAGATGCAAATGGGCTTGGGCCCTTATGGTCGTAAGAGTTGGTGCGGATGCTTAGCGAAGCGGGATGGACAGGATTCGATGGACCCCATGGGGTTTGGGGAGGAATTGATGGGTTCAGACTGTAACTGTCAACGGACGACGTTCGAGTGGGCCCAGTATTGGGAAGACCGGTACGGATATTGAACCCTTGTTCGAAATGGGCGTCAACGTAGCCCGTTCGTCGAGCGATAACAGATGCGGGGTCGACAATATTTCCTGAATGCGAACCGACAGACGGTTCAGTCGAAGACGTAGGGGCCCCAACGAGGCTCCCAAATGAGGCAGGATCAGGCGAATTGTTTCCAAATCGGCCGGCACCAAAGGACGACGAAGGAGAGTTGGACGCAGGAGATGATGAAGCGAAGTACGAATCCAAGGCGGAAGGATGGACCGATCGGGTAGGTACTGGTTGATACGGAGGGTTGTACCCATTCGTCTCTCGCTGCTGTTGAGCCGCATCTCGAGAAGATTCACGACGACGTGAGAGACCAGGAGGAACAGGAGGTGCATCAAAGTTATAGAAGAAGATCCTTTCACTACCGGCTCGTTGAGCCAACTCTCCGACGGGAGTCCATGCATCATCAAGGTTCACGCGCCGCATCAGGAGATCGATAGTAAAATAACCCTCTTCATACCACTTCTGCATAAGCTCCGCCTGGAAAGGGCCTAAGGAAGCGAAAATAGTTAGATGGAAGATGGTTGAAGAGATCGTGCTGTACCTTGTACATTTCCTTGAGGGTCGAGATACGACCACTCCACGCTGGCAGGGTTGGCGACGGCTTGAGACCCAGTGGTCAGAGGAGTAGAATTTGACTGAGCAAGAAGGCCGCCCGCTGGGATGGGATGCGTAGCACTGTGAACCGTAGGACTGGTTGGACCCTCGCTGCCATTCATAGATGATGGGACTACATTGCCATTGTCGACGACAGATAGTTCAGGTCCAGGGGGAGAGTTCCCTGTAGGAGGGCTGGAACCCTGATATGTATTTTGGCCCAGAGAATTACGTGTGTCAGCAGTAGGACCCGAATGTCGATGCTGCTCTTCCTCTTCTTCCTCAATCTTAAGTCTATTCGCAGGTTGGGGTTCATCGTCACCGTCAGCACGGGGAACAGTACCAGAATTAAATCTGGTGCCACTCTCCGATGCCCGCCTCCTGGATACCCAAGTCTCCCCAGAATTCAGGATACCATCAAAGCCTGGGGTAAGAGGACCTCGTGTACGCGGAGACGGAAGGCTGGTTTCGCGTGGAGAGCCAAGCGGGCCCTGGGTGGAAGACAAGGAAAGCTTTCGAGGTATGGTGGAAGCCGGCTGGTCTATGGTTGTCGTGTTTACGTCCGCCCTCGTCGTTATACAGAAGAATAGGTGACGCACCTGTACCATCCCTCTTCCTCATGAGGCCACCGAATTTCTCTCTCAGAGGAGTTGTCATCCCTGAGCCGGCATGAGATAACTTCGGCCTTTCTCCGGGCTGGGTTGAAAGTGGTGATAGGTAGTCGCTTGACTGCCGCCGGCGTACTTCGGAATTGATCGAACTCGCGAAAAGCTGCGGAGGAATGAGCGAAGAGTGTACTTTCAAGTCGTGCACAGAAGTCAAATGCACCTTTCTCTCCCCCTCAGTCCATTCTTTCAACCCCACGGGCTCAGATCCGACTTCTCGAACCACGCCCTCCCACCTCTCAACTTCGAGGCCAAGTCCTCCCCTGCCACCGCCGTCTTTATAAATTTTCAAAAGGTCCTCCTTCGAATAGAGGAATGGATTCGCAGAGTCTGATGACCCCTGTGCGCTAATAACCGAAGGGGCCAAGAGAGCCGAGTAAGACGACGCGCCAGATGGCGCATGCGGGTTAGGAGGGGGTGAAGGAGGATTTTGGGGACG